AAATTAGAGGATATGTATAAACATATGAGGTTATCATTTTTTCTGATAATAAAAATAGACTCTGTTCAGAGTCCACATCCCAGAGGAAGATCGTGCTGCCCACAATTGTCTTTTCTTTCTCTCATGAGAATAAATCATCTTCTTATTTGAAGAATACTTGTGAATTAATAATGAACAAGAGACAGTTTAGATCCAAGACAAATGATCCTGACCAGCTCCTCTGCTGTGCTTGTAGGCTTCTCAGTTTTCTTTACACTTGACTTTGATCACTGAGACAAATTAGCCTCACGTGTAAGCACTAAAGTTTTCTTCTGGATCTTAATTGTATCTCAATAATCTCATAGTTTGAAATAAAGATCTGTGGAGGGAGACAGAAATATGAGCATGTTAGGATCTTAAAGAAGGATCATGCTGAGACAAGAGGAAGGCTATCAGGAGCTCAGTTGTGCCTAGGAGACGTGAGAAACTAAACTGCAGTGAGGTCATAATTATTGTCAGTCATCTCACAATGTTTTCAACAGGACAGTCCGGAGACAAAGGTCACTACATGCTTGATGAGTTACTATAAAAGCAAATGCAAAAACTCAGTGGTTTAACATTTCAATAAATCCACATCTTAGAACTAATAATGATTTGTGTGTAAAACTGCTCTACCTGCTGAGGTATGAGACTCTATTCCCAAACACCAAAATAAGCAGTCTACCAATGGAGTGTCTTTGTTTCACCTTGTTGACATGAGGATCCCTGAGAAAAACTGATGAGAGTGTCTTTTATGAAGCTCTCTGGTGTAGCCTAGTGGCGGTTCAATAAAATGCTGCAGTTTCTGTGGCATTCCCTATGCTGTGTCTGCTTCTTTTAGGGCCTGAGCAATGAATGGTGCAAGGATCCTACTGTTCCCTTAATTATTACAGTTGTATTTACAGTTTACAGTATTTACTATGTACCTCTGACACATCTCTGCTCTGACTTCCTGTATTGCTTTGGATCCTGCACAAATCTTGCAGGAATAAGTGGTTCTAACTTTTAAATGGAAACTGTGGATCCTGTGATTTAGTCAGCAGTACTAACCTCAGGGTGTCCACCTGCACACAGGTCTGCACACGCAGCCCTGTCTCTCATCAGGTATGGGGGATTGGCTGAAAGGGGATGACAGGAGTGACAGGATATCAAAGGTGAGTTAGTATTTGGTTAAAAGGCCCCTCATCCTCCAACAAATCGCCTGTTGCTCAAGGTTATTTTAAGATATTGGTACGTGTGCTTTTAGTCTGAGGACATCACAGTAATTCATTAATTCATGCACATGCTGCAAGTAGCAGAGCACATCAACAAGATAAGAATATTTAGTGTATCAATATTTGAAGTATTTGTTCATAATAAAATGTCCCACAGAGATGAGGGGAGCGATCTTGTTGTATTCGTAATCCATGATCAGCTGCCAGCCTGCCGCCATGATCATGATAAACTATCATTATATCATCCTAATCATGATCCACGATCAACCATCAATCGCCACAATCCATGATCACGATCCACCATCATGGTCCACGAGCCATGATGTGGCGGCAGCAGGACTTCGAGGAGGAAGTTAAGTCATATATTACTGATATATTTATTGATAAAACGTTAATGTGATAAGGATGTGATGAGGAAGAAAGAAAAGCGAGGTGTGTCTTCCCCTGACATGAGCAGCATAACTAAGAGATGGTCCAAGACCGACCCTATCTCTAACTGACAGCTTTATCAAAAAGGAAGGTTTTAAACCGACTCTTAAACGTAGAGAGGGTGTCTGCCTCTCAAACTGAAACTGGGAGATGATTCCACAGGAGAGGAGCTTGATAGCTCACACACACACACACAGCCAAAACTTACATTACAGGTGACTTATAGATCCCCTCCAGACACAATCTAATAATATATATATATATATATATATATATATATATATATATATATATATATACTTTTCTTTGAATAATAATTTGTTTCTCAAATATTTATATCCCTTGAAAAATTCTAAAACTTATATATGCTCTTTCTACTACTATTCCTAAAAAAATTCATCTGTGCTACTAGTTTTAAACATGCTCGACACAGGACATCGCCTGCTTTGCTGGAAACTCCAGTCCCAGTGTATGTACACTGTTTTTAGGGTTTCACATATTTTGCAAATTACATACTGGACTAGACAATTATTGTCTTATAGACAAGTGTCAGAAGTCCTCCTGGCACATGTGTTGAACTGAGATTTAAAGCTCCAGTATGTAGGATTCAAAATTTGAATATAATCTTCCTAATTATGTTTTCATTATAACCACTTATAAGAATCATTGTGTTTGATATCTTAGAATGAGCTCCTTATTTCTACATAAGGAGAGGATCCCCTCCCTGGAGTTTGCCATGATGCACCACCATGTTTCTACAGTAGCCCACACAGGACACACCAAGGCTACCTCAGATTAAAGCTGCACCAACCAGGCCACCGTAGATTCATGTTGCACCACCATGTTTCTAGCCCAGACCGGACAAACCAAGGCCACCATAGCTTCTCCTACACCTTAGGAAGGGAGGGTGAGGGGAAGGGTATTCAGTTGTGTTGTAGGCCTCACCACTAGATGTCACTAACCATACGCACTGAACCTGTAAAGTGAAAACAAAGGAAAACTTCAGTCGGCAGATGAATGTGCACTGTGTATATACTGTAAATAATGAAGTACAGTGACATTTACAAAAGCACATTATAGGTGGAGCTGATTTTGAGGTAAAAACAGACAACAAATATACAAATACACTATGAGAAGTACACTCAGTTACAGTCAGCCCTGCAGAAACCATTTTAAAGAGGAGCTGATTCCACTCTATGCTCAATATAGAGGCAGCACTTTGTGGTTCTTTTGAAATGTAATATGTAATAGAGACACCCTATGAGGAAAGGCTACAAACACCTTTTAGTGTGATGTGCCACAATTCAACAGAACCACAAACTAGCCTCGGAAATGATCGTAGAGGTGAGTCATCACCTCTGTGAAAGAGTTTAAATGAAAACTGAACTTACTGAAGGACTGATGTAGACTGCATTAGTTTTCCATTAGCTTATACACAACATACTTTTAAACAGTTGAATGTAAATAATAAGCAAAGAGATCTGGAATGTTCAGCACTTCAGTGTAAAGACACATATTGCAGTATGCAGTATTTACAGATACACAGGCAGGGCATTATTCTCCTGCAGTTTCAGAGGTGGCCACCAGAGGAAGACATGTTCCAACAATGTCAGGTAATCCAACTGGAGTTCATAAAGGGCTGAAGGAAACATCAGCAAATGCATTAGTTACCCATGAATCAATGCATGATCAGCTGCAAATCTATTATCAAGGACAACTCATTTCAATATTGCAAGAGGACAGTTTATTTGGATGTTTGGAGTTGTTCTTCAGGAAACCTTTACTTTGCTCAGCACATTTCTACACAACACAATCTTCTGAAGGACTCGTGGTGTTGTGCATCATGCAAAATACTCCCTATCAGACTCAAAACTGCACTGCGATTGAGATTCTCTTTTCTAACTGTTTGTTAGAAAACAACAATTTGACATTCTGAATAATATGACTGATTCTGTTGGGGCTTTCTGTGAAATGACGTAAGAGTGAAATATGACAAATCCTGCGATCTTCTAGTCACTTAAAACTGCTTTATCTTGTCATTCGCAAATAAAGTATCTGGAAACTCTGACAGCATGCATGTAGTGAATTGTGTTGTATAGTTTGAGAGATGATCATTTAATTTGAGCTTATTAAAGACTGACAGGTTTTATGTGGCGCCTCTCTCTGAATTGTGTTTACATGTTGACAGTATTTGTCACGTCTGCTGTGCAGACCCGTGCGTAGTTTGTTGTTTACTGCATCATTATTAAGTGAAGGGCTAAAACAAAACATGATTTTAAAAGTCTGAGTACTGTACAAACAAACACCAGCTCTGGACCATTCAAAGGTTCTTCTCAAGCGGTTTCCAGCTGCAGAGTTGACTTTAGGAGGCCGGAGCTTTTCTCAAAGCGGCACTGAGACATGCTAAAAATATGCCGTGGGAGATATTTCACAAATTCTGGCCAAATAACCGCAAAGGAAAAAATCCCTGAGGTGCTCTGGAGTGGATTTTTTTAAACCAGAATGATATATTTCTTTTTGAGCTGCCTCAGTGGTTCGGTCCGACACATGATGGGCTTCCATCAGCTGAGGTTGATCAGTCTCTCTGATGACGAATAGCTTCATATCCAAAACATTTTTGACAGTACATCATAATTATGTCATTACTAAATTTAAATAAATGAATGTGCCACTAATTTTGAACTGAACTGAACTTAACTGAACTTAACTGAATTGAATTGAATTGAATTGAATTGATTTGAATTGAAGTGAAGTGAAGTGAAGTGAAGTGAATTTAATAGAATTTAATGCCACCACAGAGAAAAACATTATATTTAATTTTCGATAACTTTTCTTGTAAAACATGTTTTTTGTGCAAACTGCAGACTTATGTGTGACATTAAACAGACCTGAATGCTTGCAACAGCCCAATAACACATATTCAGCTTATATTGCCCTAATAACTGTTTTATCAAATCAATTCTCTCTCACTCAATATTAAAAACTTATGGTTTACTTATTACTTTATAGAAAAGTATCAAGTGTGCATTATTTTCAATTTTACCATCTAACATGAGCTTCCTGTGTTGCACTATATCACCCTCTTCCTCCTCCTCCTCCTCATCATTCTAATGGCCTATTGAAGGGCATGTTAGAATGTCCAGATTTCCTTGCCTTTGCATATAGATGCATGCAGCAGAGACGGGAGCAGTTTGCATGTGACTGGAGCTCTGCAGTGAGAAAGAAGCAGACGGACCCTGAGAAGAGGTGGAGCCACCACCAGACTCATAAAACCCAAAAGCTTTTTCCTCAACTCACTGTCAAGGTGACGCGCTCCGCAGCTGACAGATGAGCTCCGACCTCCGCGGCTCTCTCTCATACACACACACACACCCACGCGCACACAAAGAGAGACACACGCACGCACAAAGCCACTGGGCATGAGCGCAGCCGGGCTAACGGGAGCTTTTGGTCACAGGCTTGTTCTCCGCTCCAGATTTGCTCTCCAGAAATAACCAAGTGTGGTCTGAAGTGACGCGTAAAAACCCGCAGAGGACGCACGGAGTCTCGGGGACTTCAGCTACTTGTGGGCCACTTGTTATGTTTTATTTGTCGGCCTGCTCCAGAACCTGAGGATAACTTTGCGCTCCATCTCCGGACTATAATACACAGGGAATATGACAGCTGGCCTGGGCCACTGAGGAGCGGTACTACTGCGTGCAGCACTTGCGTGTCTTGTTGAGGCCAACCGCGCAGCCACAATATGCAGCATCATTTGGACTTGGGGGCGCATTACTATCCTCCGGACGTTCACGCCGATCACAGGACTCATCGCTACAGGAGTTTTATGATAGAGGAGATCCTGACCGATCACCCCGAGCACAAAGCGTCGGCTCCGGCCGGGGAGCTCCTCAAGTTCGGGGTCCACGCTCTGCTGTCTGCCCGGCCTTTCCACAACCAGCTGGGTAAGAGGCGGCTCTGACTGTCACTGTGGCTGGATTCATGTAAAAGTGACTGGATTCAAAATGTAGGCTGAATATCACAGATGATTCTTACTGATAATATTCATTTTAAATGAGATTATAAATCACCAGTTGGTGGATTTAACTTTTGTCACATGCGGGCTTGTTTTTGAGACACACTGGTGTGTGATAATGAAGCAAAGACTCGGACACAACGTATATTTATCGAACAAGGAAATATCTCAGGTCAAAGCAGTTCCATTAAGTAGTAGGTATTTTTTAAATGCCCCCCAAAACGGCTTAAATGTGCGACTTTTAATACGCCTTATTTTTTTAATAAGAGTTTGTAATGTGCGTGCGTAAAATCTGGACTCTCGGTCTCCCAAATAAACCAGAAGATTGCCTCTGATTACACAATGTAATCAAATTGGAGATGTTATAATATTTTATTTGTATTATTCCAGTGTAGAAAAAATCTAGCTTAAGTGTATTTATATACCTTCAATCTACAGCCAAACCTTGTTCACAGAAGAAAACCACCGCCAGTGTGTGTGTGTGTGTGTGTGTGTGTGTGTGTGTGTGTCATTATCAACTCTTAATTACAGGAGTTTACATGGAGATGAGATTGGACATGAGCTCCAGTGTGAGTTGTGAAACAGGCCTGATTATTGAAGGTTAAACCAGGCTCCAGTTCGTTTATTGATGATCATTTATGATCATATGACATTTGTCCGACTCGGCTGGACAATAACCCATTTGGATTAAAGTCCCATGAATCAGAATTTTATAGTTTTACTTGTACTAATAATAGTAATGAAATCAGGATAATAGGAGTGTTTCTTTTAAAGTTTTAGGCACCAGTGTTGTTGTTGTTGTGTGATCTCAGTGTATTCTCATATTTATGATAAATGCATCATATTCTAACAGCTGTAGGATCCCTGAACTCTGACCTGATCAGTCTGCATTTGACACCATGTCAACAAATGCAGTGTTGGTACAATAAAATAGCAACAACAACACAATTACTGGTGCGTAACACAACCCTCTCTCCATGTGTGTCTCTCTCATCCTGCAGTGCTGAAAGCCGAGCAGACGAGCCTGCTCAAGTTCCCCATGTCCCCGCTGTCCTGCTCGCTGGGCTCGGCGCTCGGCCCCCCGCTGCTGTCCGTGCCTCCGGGCCTGCAGGTCGGCGCGGCGTCCCACCACCTGCCGCTGGACCTGCACCTCCGCGGGAAGCTGGAGCACGGAGCCGACGGAGGCAGCAAAGCGAAGAAGGGCCGCCGGAGCCGCACCGTGTTCACCGAGCTGCAGCTCATGGGCCTGGAGAAGCGCTTCGAGAAGCAGAAGTATCTGTCCACCCCAGATAGGTGCGGTTATTACCATTATTGTTGTTATTATTCTTATGTGTGTAGATGCCATACTTCTAAAATCAAAATACAAAAATAAATTTAAGTTTAATCATCACACTTTATAAGAGATTCAAAAGCATACAGACTTCTGTTCCAGTGTTTCCAAAAACATGATGAGCATCACTCATTGTTAGAATTATACATTAAATCTCTCAGCAGAGCATGAAAGGTGAGGACATGTGCATTATTTCATTCATTATTTTATGTACAGTTTCAATATGTTAATTTATGTAATATTTTATGAAGTAGATATAGATATTTTATTAGGTTTTAAGTTGTGTGTGTGTTTTTTTTAAAGGAAATGTAAACTTTCACCATGTTGTTAAAACTCACATTTACACACACAGGTAAAAAAGAAACCACCCAGCAGGACATGACCTCATAGTTTTCAGTGGCAGCTCTGGCCCTGATGCCTTAAGCTGTTACCCAACAGTGTCCCTCTATGATTAAATGCTGCGACGAATAAAATGTGACAGAATTATCCGAAAACAACTGACAGAATGAAATTATTTGCCCAACCAGGAAACAAGCCCATGAGGTCTTCTTGTTGAATCATTGGATGATATGTGAAAGCTTTGGATTGTGTTCTCTACAGAATAGACCTCGCTGAGTCTCTGGGGCTCAGTCAGCTGCAGGTGAAAACATGGTACCAGAACAGACGCATGAAGTGGAAGAAAATTGTAAGTCATTCTTCATTTTCTATGTTCACGGTGATGATGATGATGATAGCAGTTGTCAACAACAAACAATAGGATTTATTTGCGTTGTGTATTATGTCAGCAGATGTTGCTGAAAGATGTTGTTCAGACAAAGTAGATCAGCTGGTGTGTTACTCACTTCTCTACAAAAGATGTTGCTGGGTTATGTGATATATGCTTAGATTAAATCAACATGGGTTTTTTATAAATACTTTCAACGTTGATACACCTCCCCATTTATATTAGACACTTTCTTTTCTCATGAATGTTGTAAATATTGTAAATGTTGTTGCTGTGCTACTTGCCACATCTATTCAGCTTCTGTCCATACTGGGAGACGGATCCCTCACATGGGACTTTCTATGACATTGATATGTTTTTTCCCTGTTAAATGGGTTTTTTGGGCACATCTTGTTAAAGCCCTATGAGGCAAATTGTGATTTGTGAATATGGGCTATAAAAATAAAATTTGATTGATTGATGGAAAATTATAAAGAAATGATCTGAAACTTTATATATATATATAGAGAGAGAGATATGTATACGTATACGTATATCTATCTGTGTGTGTATATATATATATGTATAGATATATGTATAGATATATATTTATAGATATATATGTACGTATATAGTGCTGTATATTTGTGCTGCATTGTGATGGCCACTGATGGGAGGTCAGTTTGTTGTTGAATCTAAACCTAAGTGAACTGCTCATGCAGGTGCTGCAGGGAGGAGGCCTGGAGTCACCGACCAAACCAAAGGGGCGCCCGAAGAAGAACTCCATCCCCAGCAGCGAGCAGCTCTCCGAGCAGGAGCGATCTGCGGCTGACGCTGAGCATCAGTCTGAAGGTTCCAGCTCCCACTTAGACAGCACTCAGGAGGAATGAGGGGGCCTTCGAGCCTGCAGACACTCTTGACTCTATATGTGCAGGGCCCCTGCAACTTACACTATGCACATTTTGGATGGGACCAGACTCTATGATGGTATGGAGAAGATTTTTGTGGATGCCCAAAAGACTTTGAATGGCCCAGCCGAATTTGTACAAGGCAACAGCGACCAGCAGTCATGTGTTTTTGTTATAGCCCGACCATGCATTCCCTCACGATGAACCTGCTGCTGTAGAGGAGGGAGCTCAAACCGCTGCAGTAGGTCGACCCTTTTTATTCTAAGGATCCACACTCACTCATCTGTTTTGCATTCCTTTTGTGTAACTGTGCTATGTTTAATTATTAAATATATTTTCACTAATGCTCTTCTCTGTTTATTGTAAAGGACATATAGAGGTTTAATAAGCTTTTAGTCTAGTGTGTGTAGTGCACACGAGGATGATAGCTCACAGGCTCATCAGTTACACACTGACATGCTGACATGCTTCAGGGCCTAATATGGTTACATACCTTTTCAATACGTAAATGTCTTGTTGATTCCTGACATCATTTACTGGGTATGAGGTCCCAGACTAGGCAAACAAAAGAAGCTCACACATTCAAGTACATGACATGTTTCTTTTGTTTGAGGAAAATAGGGTAGGCTTCGTGTCAAAAGTTTGTAAGTGGTTTCCTAATTCAATGTTGTCATTATTTGATGTAACAGGGGCCACGCGTCTCCTGTTAAGTTGTGGATTCACACTGGCATCACCGCTCATTGTGTTCTTGTATAAAAGAGAGAGGAAGTGATGCTGGCTCCCATGAGGACCTAATGAAAAGCAGAGCAAAGAAACTCACACACTTTACATTTCCCTTAGTTTTGCTTTCTTCCATCTCTTTTCATTTCAACTGTCAAAAACTGAATAGATACACAATGTGAGGAGATGTACTAATTAGTTTTAGTTTTTAAAAAATGAACAGAAACACAAATAATTTGGATGCAAGCAAGTGTCCTTATGACATCTAATATCCACAGAGCTGTTTTAAGTTTACCTGAACAGATTAGTTCTTTTAATTCATAACAGCAGCCGATTAGAAGTCCCACTTTACTGTTATATCAAATAAGAGTTGGTAGTTTGACCATCTTTTTTTATTGTATTTATTCTTTTTTTACAAAGAGAAATTAGCAGCATAATGTAGTCCATTGCCGACATTGTATTTTGCTGCATTTAAAGTGGACAAACATCATGTGCGGCAGTTTGCTGTTAGCGCACACTTTGAACATCAGGCTGTATCATGGTGTAATGAACCATTTAATCCTAAACACGTCGTCATCTTCACGATGCCGAGAGTAAAATGAAGCCTTATTGCCATTGCTAACGACTCTTCGATTCATTTTTATTTTATTTCTACAACAACTGACAACAATTATCGAAAGCACTTCACGTAATGAGGTATAGAGAAACCCAGCAGTTCCCACAGTAATACAGATTGTTAGAGGTATTTACTCTGCAGCAGGCTGTGCAAACATGTCAGAGTGAGTTTTTAGGTTATATAGAAACATCAGTGAGCGTCTGCAGCCTCAGATAACAGTCTGTAAAACAGCCTGTAAAACAAAGCACCGAGGCCTCCACCATCACCTTCCACTACAGTTCAGTGTGTGTGAGCGTGAGCGGCAACAAGGTATTAATACAACATAACATACAGGCTTCTGAGCTGGTTCATATTTTTAGCTATACATGAGCAGAAACTTTTATTTCTGACTCAGAAAAAAATATTTATTTCATCGGGTGTTTTATTTTTACATTTACTTTTTCTGAGAGTATTTTGACAGCATTTGATTGGACATCCCACTGTGGCCCTCGTCTTTAAAAAACACGTAACTACAATCCGTCTGACTGCTGCTGGAATATTCCACTTAACATTAAACAGAACGCGTATTAATATGAATGAATACATGTTAAATGTAACGCAACTGCAGCTTAATAACATGTTGGTTTCACACTAGATATTATTATTATAAATACATTATACGTTAACAGCGTGTCTGTTCCTACAGCTTCTTTAGAAGATTCTATTTCTGCACTTACTTTATTACATGGAGTCTACTGAAACGGGCCAGATGAAACAGCAACAATGATCATTAATTAATAATCGTATATATGAAGCAGGTCAGCAGCTCAGTCAGCTTGAATTTCATTTATTGCGCTCTTTATAAAACTGTTAAACTCTCAGCTGACGGTTTAAAAATAAATAATACAACATTAACGCTCGGTCTCAGTGAACTCTGTTTGATTTTTCGCAGGGGATTCGGTTTATATTCCAACATTAGGCTAATATATTTTACAAACAATATGCAGTGTACTTAGCATATATTTAATTATTCACCGATTTCAAGACAAATGAGTCAAACCCGTCAAGTTAGAAATGAAACAGAGCAGCAGAGATTTTCATCATTTACATGAGGGCTGATGTAGAACAATTTAAAAAAACTAATAATAAAACGGTTTTAACAATTAGATGATTATTTAGGAGATGATTCAAATTATTTAAATTATTAGACTAATGCATTTGAAACGCTTTCAAACTTGAAATACAGCAATATTTTTTATTTTTTACAAGCAGCCAACTTTATAAACATATAGAATAATATTAATTATGATCAACTCCCGGGAAGGTGATTTGGAAAAATTAAAATGAAGAATGTTGCTTTTAAAAACCAAAGAAGGCATCAGAAATGATCGCGTGTATAAATGACTTGGATCAGTAGGCAGACTTAATACGCGCTTTATTGTCTCTGCTGCTCGGGAAGCAGCTGGAGACCAACAATACTTAAACTGTGAGACTTTTTCTTTGTGCACTCAACTCGTTCCTGTGTTTGACTCGTTTCTCTGCGTCCTGACTGTGCGCAGGAGCACCGTGCGTGTTCAGGTGTGTTGTCCCAGAAGATGGAAGTGGCAAACACCACAGCTCTCACCCGTCTGTGTGTGTGTGTGTGTGCGTGTGTGTGTGACCGAGCAGATCCTTCACTTCAAACCGAGCGTGTCTTACATTTGACAAATTAAAGGTCTTAGTCTCAGAGGTTCAAACGAAAAAAGAACGACTGAAACGTCCACAAGTTTTAATCTGCATCACATTATAATTAGAGTTTTTTTTGTCACTGTTTATTTATTCATCTCAAAAAGAGGCATCATTTGTTTCTCCTGTAATATAAGAACAAGGGCTGCTTTCATCAGTGGCTCAACATTTATTTCAATGAAGGGAATTATTACTGTGACGTATGGAATATTCATTATGATGAAAAAGCTGCATATGTAGAATGATCGCCTGGATGAAATAACCACATAATGCAAATGATGAAACTTTACTTCATAATATTTATATTAGCTTCATCTAGTTGAAGTGTGGTGATGCCTCTGAGGCTTTGTAAACTCCACCTATTCATTTTGACTGGCTGCTCTTTGTAAATTGTGGAATCCAGATTCTTGAAATTCCTTCTAATTATCTTTTTTTTCATCCCAAAGTGCACCTTTCTTTTACTTGGTGGTCTCAGTTTCACCTAAAGATCCACATGGACATCTGCTAGTCAAGAACAACCCACCCAGCCACACACACACACACACCATCATCATCATCATCATCATCATCATCCAAGCAAATGGCTAATCAGTCCATGCTCAGGATGTCAAATTGATGTCAAGGCTTAATCATATGCAGATTAATGACAGGTTCACCAAAACAACTGAGCTGAGGCTGCAGAGCAAGATGAGAGAAAAGCAGCAGCACATGTTAGAAATGTAGTTATGACTGTTGTCAATTTGTTGTAAGGTGAATATGTGGGTCTGCCTTTGCTTCAGAGTGCAGATAAAAAGCTGCAGCAGGCCTGGATGATTCAGGCTCCATCCACGTGCACGTTTGCTCTCCAGGGCTTTGGAACGGCCTGAGTGTTGGACAGCAATGGCTTCCGACATAAATTACAATCAGGAGGAAGAGGCAGTCGCCAGGAATCTGCAGATTCGGAACATCCATACTTGACGCAATTTAATCATTAAGGGGACCCTCTGTGGTGGTATGATAGCGCTGCGGCGCAAGCAATGGGAGGCTGACCCCAATTTCTGAGAGCGGGTGTTTGTGGAGTCAAAAGGTCTGTGCTTAGACAGAGCCCAGGCCGGGGGTCCGGGGGGCCCCCAGCGTCCGCCCCGGCCATGCACAGGAGAATTTCTCCACGATTAAAGAGCCCCTGATTAATCCAGCGTATGTGCCAAAACTGCACATGCGGCGTATGATCCCAATTAGACTGAAACCCAACTCTGTGCAGGCCCAGCTCCACATTAGCTCTGCCATTCTTCTCTTTGTTTTCACTGGACGCTCCCTGACAACAGGCCTTCTCTTCATCACACTCTTATAAAGTCTGCCTGCAGAGACGCAGTAATGCTAACTAGAATATCTCTGATTTAATGTATCTGACTGATATGGAAGCATGAGGCTTGGATCATAAACAACTTTCCCGAAATAAAAAAGCACAGACACCGTGGCCGAGTCCATTCAAAGGAAAATCACATATCATTTAAAGTAAAATGGGCTAAATATGAACTAGGAGAGTAATTCACGTTCTAAACTATTATCTCTTATCCTTAAGTCACCAGACAAAAAAAAAGTTTCTGCTTAAACATTTTATATTGTAAATAAAATAAAATAAAATAAAATATTTTCTTATTTACCAGTTATGGAATCACTTCATGCAAAGTGTTTAGGAGTAGATGCAGCATTAAAGTAAGGAATCAAATGAAATCGTGAGGGTTTTATGGCTCCTGCTTTATCACCTGTTCTCTGAGGGTCAGACGTCAGTTTAAAGCTGCACGACTCATTTTTTTATTGACAATGGAAAAATATGTGTGATGTATGTGATGTGTGAGAGAAACCAACTCTGCAGTGATCGTCATCTCTCTGGAGCTTTTAGTTCACTGTAGCTTCTTGTTATTTAAATAAAAAACGTAATTTATGTAGCACTTTTCAAAATACAGTTAATGTTTCACAATAAGAGAGAAATAAAGTACATAAAACTTAATAATGAAAATAAATCATTCACTAAGAAAACTGTAAATACTTTAAGCTGTTTCATGGAGAGGACAGCGTACGTGTGAAATGAGGAGAACGAATGGGAGAAGACATGCAGCAAAGGTTGAAATCAAACCTGTGGCAGCTGCAGGAGGATTTGAGCCTCCTTATGTGGGAGGCCCAGGTGAGCGAGCAGGCAGCCAAAGAATTTTGAAAGAAAGAAGACAGGAAAGCGTCCTTGAATATCTCGAGA